GCATATCCAAGTTCGTGTGGGAGGTCTGCATCACCGTCTACGAGGAATATAAGAATGAGATGTTCACCATGCCCTCCACACAGGACGAGTGGAAAGCCGTCGCCCGCCAGTTTGGAACGCGATGTAACTTTCACCACTGTTGTGTGGCGATCGACGGGAATCACATCGCCATCAAGAAGCCCAAGAAAAGTAGAGCGCTCTATTACAATTATAAGGGCTTCTTTTCTGTGGTGCTCCTGGCCGTCGTGGATGCTAACTATTCCTTCTTGTGGTGCAAGGTGGGGGCCAACGGCTCCTCCTCAGACGCAGGCGTGTTCAACCAGTCCACCCTCCGGGGGGCACTGGAGGACAACACTATTGGATTCTCAATGCCTTTCCCCTGCGAAAGTGGCTCATGAAGCCATACAGTCGCCGTGCCATGACCCACAAAGATGAACTATTGGACCTCTCGGACCCGTCGTGTTGTGGAGAACGGTTTTGGGATATTGGCTCACCGGTGGCGGTGCCTACTCACCACCCTGAAGTTGGAGCCCGGCAATGTGATCCGCGTTATGTTGGGCTGCCTCACCCTTCACAATTGACTGCGAAAGCGCCGGCCCGGACTACAGGACCTTAATGTGGACCGTGAGGATGAGGATGGGAACGTGGTCCCCGGGGCCTGGAGGGAGGATGTGCAGATGACCGAACCCAACCAGCGGGTCTCAGTTCTTACTTTCAAAGCCCCCACCCCAGTTATTTGATATTATATACCAGAACAGTTGACACGGTAGTCCACAAAACCCCTAGTCCACCCTGGATAGTAGTACAAAGAAAATCCCTAGTCCATACTGGCAGGAGTCAGTTTAAGTCCACAAAACACACTAGTTGGTGGGGGAGCTGTCCAAGTTGTCCCCTGAGTCCTCATGTGTACCCAAAGGACTGGCTGCCTGCGATGCTGCTATTTGGCTGGTGTTGCCCGAAGGGATACCTTAGGTCAACTGGTTAATAAGCAAATCCCTAAGACCACTGCCAGTGATTGATGTACCTGCGCGGTGGCGGGTGGTTGCATGGGTGCGTCAAGGAGCTGGATCTGTGACTGAAAGAAGGAGGTTGGCTGCTGCAACACATGTTGCGATGGCTGCTGTGGCCACTGTTGCTGCCATGTCTGCATTTGACCCCACTGCTGTTACTGCTGCGGGAAGTGCGGCCAATGCTGCTGGACTGGTGGCATTGGCCTGGGCTGTGCAGTTGGAGATGGAGATGTGTCAGGGTTGGGTCGGGGCCTTCTGTAGTCATGTATCAGGCGCATAGCAGCCAATTGGAAGTCGTCCCACCTACCGTGGGGGATCCCTGACATCCTGGCCGCGATCCACTGACTAAATGATGTGCGTTTGTCTGGTTGTAAGGGTGCAGAGACAGTGGCAGCAACAACTGTCTCCAACTCCAAACACACAGGTTCGTAAAGGTAAGCATATAATATAGACACCAATGTGATACTTCTGTAAAAAACATTATACACATCAAATCTATAAACAGTGAATGTCATTCACTGTGAAGGAAAGTAGAACACTGTGCAATATAAATAGAGCAAATTACAATTGCAGATATGCAATATGCAATGTGCATTTCACACCAATAGTATTAACATTAAATACCTGTTTACTCAGGACCTCCTCGGGCCTGGGCATGTCCAAAAACTTCATAAGAAGGTCGTCGATCTTCGACTTCTTGCTGACCAGAGGGTTTGGTATTGCGGGTGGCCGCGGAGGTGGAGGGAGATGGAGATGATGGCCTGGTTGGGATCCAGTGTAGTGACTTCTTCTCCGATCCACCAGCAGCACCCTCCTCATGATCAGACTCTCTGCCGTCACCATCTGACTCTTCTTCGCTCCTCCCCCCTCTTCCCCTTCCTCTCTGGCCATCTCATCTTCCGCGGCCCGTTTCTGTTGGGCCTCTCTGGCCGTATCCGCTACCTTTTGAGCTGCAGATGCAGCTGACCCCTTCTTCTGTGTCCTCTTATTAGGCATCTTGGAGACGAAATGTTGGCACTCGTCCGTCGGTTCGGCTTTTATATATACTGCAGAAATTAGTGCGCACAACGTGCGTTGTAAGTGTGGAGCACGTGCTTACTCGGTACGGTCCACGTCAGTTCTGCGTGCTCATTGAACAGAAGAACTGGGGAAGTGCCGGGTAAGCACAGACCACGCACTTATCACGTGCGCAGCACGCACGTGCTAAGTGCGCCGTCCGTAGAGCAAGTGACCGTGCAAGAGTCAGTGCGTTGTGCGCTCATTGGCTGTAGAAGGCAAACGCATCACCCGTACTGGGGTGAATCCGTAGCCCGACCACATCCCGAACGCAGCGAAATGTCCTCATGCACTAAAAGTGCTACGGCGTGTCTGCTTGCTCCCAAATCCGTACTGAGGCGTTACTCACCACGTACGGATCCCCGAATTTTGCCCACGTTTTTGCAAGTAGACAGCACGCAATTGCAAGTACGGCGGGTTGGGACCACGGCTTAATGCTTACAGTTGTGGGACCACACAACGCACCAAAAATAGCATACATCGTTCACACACCGTCCGCACATCGTCCACGTATGGTGCGCACAACTGTGCGATTTAGCAATCGTTCGCCCCGTTGTGCGCTTCTCTCCGCACAACTGTGCGATTTGGTATCATTTGTAGGTCAAAATTACGGAATGACAAAAATACGGAAGGCTTGTATGCGATATTTCACATCACAATAATCAAGATTATACAATTTCACAATGCGTGTTACACAGTATTACAGCGACCGTTAGGCTGTCAAGAATGGGTTTGGCTCCAAAGGAACAGAACAGGTAAATAACAATTTGTCCGGAGTTTTACCTGACCAGTGCCTGACACACAGAGCTGATATGCAATACCGTTTAACCGTAATGAATAGTATTTGTTATTTGCATTCGTTTGCCTATAGCTCCCCTTCACCTGGATTTTCACACCCCCGGCCTTACCCGACGAGTAACGTAAGTGCCCCAGGTGGGGAGAAATGTACAAAGTGGGTATGTTTACCTGTATACGGGATTGTGTTGTAATTTTACATGTGTCGACTAAGTTTGTTTAAAAACACAGAAAACACAATTTCTAAATATAAGAATGTATAGACAGAAAGATAAGTTTATAGATATTGCTAGAATAAAGAAACATACGTAAATATCAAGATTATATGTTTAACCACGAAACCGTATAAATTGTTAAGGCATTTCTCAATTTACACCAACAACGATTGTTATCGCACAACGTCCGTCCACCGTGCGCACAGATGTGCGCAAGCAATGATCGTCCATCTTTTTATTGTTCGCCCATCGTGCACACACCGTTCACACATCGTGCGCACACCGCACATCGTGTAACGTTGTGCGATCCCACCACTGTATATATACGATAAGGGAAGAAAGCTCTCGATGTCGAAAAATCGACACCGTCTAACTTTCTGGCACCTTAAATACACATTTCTAGTTGATGAAAATGCTAGAACCGTTGGAAAGATGGATCCCTTTTCTTTTAAAAAACTCATAAAAGCACGTAAAATGTATTCTCCTCCCATGGACAAGATCGCCGTTTCCTAAAACAAACCCACACCATTTCAGAGTTTCACATTTTTACGCAGTCATAGAGACACTTTTTTGTATATTCATGAGGTTGACGTCAGCCACGTGCACGTGCCGAGACCAATGGCGTGATTGGCTGGAAGCGCAGCCATCTCACCCCTAAAATAACCAGCCCACCAACACTACCTATTTCGGCACTAGGTGTAGTACACCAACCGCAGAAGGAACTTGGTCCTCAATGATTCATATCACATTAAGGTCAGTCAAGGTCACCTTTTATTCCAGTAACAGTCATGTCGTCCACGCTCCTTGTAAGCTGATATTCACTGAATTTCTTTGTTCATTCCGTGGCTTACCACAACTTATGCTAGTCAACAGTAACATCATGTACAATCTATGGAAATGCGTTTTCCTCAGTCCTTGTCGCGCTGACCAGGTTGCCACGACGATGTCTTGGAATCTGAGGGCATAACCTATGCCTGCTCTGGAGACTGACTTGACTTCCTCTTCGACTCTGAATTTCTGCTTTACCGATCTATACGCCAAATCCCTACACTACCGTCGACAGCAGATATCTTAAGTGATTCAGCGCAATATGCTTGTATTATTGTATGGCTGAATAATTTTAACGAATTATTGCTTATTTATTGTTTTCATAGCGGTTATATATTCCTGTATCGTGTAACATTTACAATGTATCTTAGTAGCAGGTGTCCTAATTTACACGTAGTAAGTGACACGTTCTTAACCTATCTTAAGGATGTATGCTACCTTTTACATTTTTAATTGTTTTATCCAACAAATCGGAACTGTCCTTTATAAATGTATGCTATTAAACTATTAATCGAGTCTTCGCTACGGTTTTAAAATGTTGCTTTTCTTTTTTATATTTAATAGCGCGCACCATTCAACATGTAGGTAAGCCAATGTATGTTACACACCAATGCATGTCAAAAAGATGACAACCAATATTTATGTTTACTTTTTATGTTGATCAACTTACAGTTCACGCAGAAATAAAGACATAATATTAGTTTGAATACGTTTCAACGTCAGGGAATATACATACAAAGAACAGCCACCAGTTGACAGTGGAGCAGTGCAATCTCCAACGTTACAGTTATGACGTCATAAGCGTAGCGACGTCACAATGGTCCCATGTATGCTATACGGAAATAATATACATTGGGTCCAGTAGAAACATCTAGGCTCTGTGCAGTGGAAATGTAAATATTTGTGAATGTACATGTGTTTGTCTTTTTTACCGATAAGGTACATTTTTAGCAAACATCCTTACAAGTCCAGTGCTAAGCAAACGGTTCCTGACTGCGTGTGATACTATATTGTTGTACTTATACGACAAAACAGGAATGTCATATGAAATTGTTAACAGTGTTACTACCTTAAAAAACAAAACGCAAAATCAATATAAAAATGTAAACAATTTTATTATTATTTGCATATTATATAGGATATTATTCTTAATGTCAATGATAATAAGATAAGATCAGTTGGCCTGTTTCGCTCACAGGTTTCATTCAAAATCTGAAATCTCTTCTCTAAAAAACATTTACATATGTTCTTCATTATTTTGAACTTTGACCTAGGGGAATGACTGTTTTCATCATAACTTTAAATTTGTTAAACATTCCCTTTCATTCATCCTCGACATTTATAATGTCAATGATGATATTTCCTCACCCACGACAATCAATATCTCAACTTTGCATTTTGAATATTTGATAAATCGCCGGAAATCGGTTTTGAATTGATTCCAATATGATATCAAAGTACACATACCCGGATGTAGGTGAACGGTGGACGACACGCCATGACATAAACCGTATTTAACCGACCTATTTTACCTGACTTCAGGGTTTTAGAATTACATCATATTGATAAATATATATATACTTTGATTATGTAACAACCTTTAGGTAAAGTTCTATTATATTTACATTTAAACTTTTAATGTATAAAATCTCTATAAAAAATACGTTTGACACATATTCGTACATTTTGTGTTTATAAATGTATTATGTCCATGGGGCGCTTTTCTAAGCTTTTCAAAAAGAAACAAATAAAAGTTCATACTTCTAAATTAATAACAGAAGCCTGTATGGTTACGAACATTTACTTAGTATACAGGTGTTTGGGAAAACTAAGTAAGGAGGAATCTATGTAAATGATAGACATATAAATCAAAGGCGTGTTCGATAACAGCATTTTTCTGATCTTTATCCATTCATATTCATTACGAATTACGATATCAGAGTTACCATGATTATTTTTGATTTTTTTTAATGTTCCCCTAAAAACATAGAAACGTTCCACAGAAGTTAAAAGTGGCACTTCCGTTATCAAAGGAGCAGTTTTATATTATCTGAATTAAAATTTAATCTAGTCTTTTACATAAAACATGAACATTGTACACACAATTATAAAATGGAATACCTATTCCATCATTGCTAAGATCTCTGAAATAAGGCACAAAGACATCATACATTTTAACACTGTACACATTAATATATCACAAACATCTTATTGATTCATACATATATTGCAACACTGATTAGATAATCATATGATAAAGGTCCCATCGTGAGTAGAGCACTATAGACATTAGACAGTCAACATCATATGTACATAATTGTATATCACAAATGTATATTCATGAAATTGTTATCAATACACATGTTGCAGGATACACAGTGGTTAGCTCCAATAATGTTCCTCTCCAAGGCCATTTCCTTATAAAAAATATCTTCCATCAAAAAGGAACGTATTAACGGAATAATACCATTTTATGAAAAAGAATACTTCAAAAGATGAATTGATCTCCTCTTAATAGAGGAATAACATGCAATGTTTATAGTGATGTGACGTTTATGTATCTGTGTTACTTATAAGGAAGACACCATATATAAACAATTTAACAATAAAAACAACAACATGTCTTTGATTTGAAAAACTGACAGCTGTACATACATGTACATTGCTATCTGACGCAAAGTAATTGATTTTTGTATTTAACCATATACCCACACGACGTTTATGTATCTGTGTTACTTATAAGGAAGACACTATATATAAACAATTTAACAATAAAAACAACAACATGTCTTTGATTTGAAAAACTGACAGCTGTACATACATGTACATTGCTATCTGACGCAAAGTAATTGATTTTTGTATTTAACCATATACCCACACGTAATCAATTACGTCATAATAGTTAATGAAATCGCTTAGGAATATTGAAAGCATAATTTAAAATACAAAATTTTGTAAGTATTTGTAAACGTTCATTAGTCCCTTCACCTATGTATACATATGCTGTTACCATAATGACATAGAGTAGTATACCTTTAATGGGAATGAAAAATTGGTGACATCAGTCTGAATGCAAATTTCATATAAATTTGATTGCTAAAAAGTGAAAATATGTAAAAAGTATCAACGAAAACATCACAGTAATAAAGTTCAACAATATCAAAATATTTAAACAATGAAATGAAATCGTTTAATGACTGCTAAAATTTAAAAAAAAATCAAGAGATAAACCACTGGTGATTTATTTGTTTAATTTAAGATGCAAAATGAGAACATTCCTAACCCTCACATTTTATTCAATGGTTATGGTGTGTAAGCACCATCAAGGGAAATACATAGTGTATACAACATTTATGAGTACACTGTAATATAATTATATAGATATGGTGAACAGTAAAACACACTCATTCATCATTCCTATTTCAAACTAAGTAAACTTCATTCATTGCTTTCCAATTAACAGCAGTGTCGATTTTTTTTGATTTGATATGTATAAAAAATACATTGCCCACTTTCATCTTGTCTCCAACTTAGAACAACGAAAATCCTCTGCACGTGTTCTCCATTTTCACTGTTATTTTATAAGAAATAACACTACCAGAGCAATAAAGAATTGCAGCTTGGTTTTAATTAAACAATTAACAAAATATTTTACTCTAGAAAAAAACCCATTTTTCTCCAATTAATAAATACACAGGTTTTTACAATGAAACCAATAAAACAGATGTACGTTTATTTTATTCTAAAGGGTTTTGCTTTTACCGTGGTCAACGTAAACACGAAGCCAACACTGTTCACATGCAGTCATTGTAATATCTAATAACTTATCTATCCTATATCACAGAGACCACTAGCTTTTACCAGTGTTCTCAGCCTATTGAGATCTGTATGGTTAATTAAAAAAAAAGATCACACATGTTGTTGGAGTATTATACAACATACATATTTTGTTTAGACTAACTTCAGAAATTCATCAGATCACCATTTGATAAATAATTCCCCTTATAATCGAGATAGAAAAATACTCTATATATATATTCATTTCAAAATAACAAATACGCAATCGATACAAGACATTTATGAAATGGTGATTGTCAGTGGTGAATAGGAAATTATGATAGCAGATTTTGATTAACATGGATATAAAACTAGTTTCCTATTTTGAATGCATGACGTTGATACGTTTGATTATTTTGTCAATTTGCATGGATTCTTAGAACTCTAAACTAGGCATATTGCACGGTTTATATTGGCACATACCGATAGAGGAAACCATGCAGATGTCTTGCAATTATTTACATTGGAGATACAATTATTTACCTGTCAGATACAGTTATTTATGGAAGATACAATTATTTACCTAGGAGATACAATTTCCACACAGGTATAAACTATTTTATACAATAAGCACAATTTAGCTGGTTTTAAACTATTTCGATTAATGAACACAAATTATGAACAAAGGCCCACTTCCTCAATGTTAATGAGGACGTGTCGTAATGCATTTGTCTTGTAAAGGTTTTACAAATACTGCATTTCATTCGACATTAAAGGGGTCGATCAGTGTAACCATGTTGTCATGGTTACCTGTACAACTAACGTTTTTTTGAGAAAATATCCAAAGTACTGTCTTAAATCAGATGATGTATTTCCTTCTTCGCATTGAACGCATTTAGTTGCTTTTCACTATTTGATATTCATCATCCAATTTGGTCCCTTGATTTCCTCATAATGTCATGTTCACGAGGATTTCTTTTTATAACTACACGATGTAATATCGGAGGGATTGGATGGTTCCTATTTTGTACCTCAAATGTGAGTCCTTCACATCATCAATTAAAAGACAGTTTCTTCAGTGTTTCCTTCCGTCTTTCATATATTGTTTTGTAGTAGTTTATTAAGCGAAGATATTACTTCTGAAAAAGAGAAAAAGAGGCGCTAGATATAGATCAAATATTTTCTACCAATTATTTTAGAAGATTCTTAAGTGATTAGTTTGAAGCGTAAACATCGCATTAAGGTGACCTGATATACCCACTTTGGTCATTAAACTATTAAAACAAGTGAATAAATGAAAAGTGATGTTAATCATTAAAAGTGTGACTTCATTAATTATGTATAGCTTAAAGCGTTGTTACAGATTTGGCCTCAACGAGTTGATACGCAAGTTGGTAAGATGTTTATCTTAGATACATACTTGCGCCCTTTTAAAAAAATATAAAAACTGAGCTTGGAATCTCACAGTGAGACAATCCCTCTGCATAAGGTATATATAAGTTCAGTTAGGTAACGAATATAGTATTTTTATTAAGATTTTGTATGGTAACAGCAATTCCAAAACAGTAGTGAGCGCAAAAAGAAATTATTATTTCAAGAAACTTACATCAAACACTGGATTTGCCCTTGGTGTTGTAGCTGGCCTTTTGATCTTGTACTGAAATATATAATAATGATTATTTGTGAGGTATCTTTTTATCAAAATGATAGTGCTAATATTCTAAAGGAGGACAAAGTTGGATACAGTTTGCATGCTGTTATGAGCTTCAGTGAATTAGTTACATAATATAAAAGAAATAAAGAATAAAAAGTTTCTGTTTGTTTCTATAAATTACCCTCACTTTAAACTCTCTCTTTTCTTTCATGCAAGAGCATTCTATCTAAAATCCACTTCAATTACCAACAGTATGTCTTTATTGAATAATTGTGAAACAAACATACCCCTTAGAATGGCAACTCATTGAAAGATGGTAGTGTAGCAGAGTGTTTTTTGTTTTTTGTTTTTTTAAAAAAGTTTTACTATATATAGGTTAGACGTATTTAGCCACTTTACTTCAATCATTCCATGGCATTGACCTTGACGTTACAATCTTGATTTACCTGCTCTTTAGGGTCGACATAATTGTACATGAAATCCCAAGAGAAGTTCGACATGGCACCATTGTCATACACTGAAATAAATACAGAAACAAACATAATATTTTTTAACTGCTCTAGCACGGAGGAAAGATGTGACAGATTCTAAAATATAGCCCAAGGTTAAGTTTTATCAACTTTCAGATTAGGAACTTCAATGATGTTTAAATCCAAAAGGTGTACAGGTTTACGATGCACAAGGAAAGCACGTAGTGTAACGAGGTATATGTAAGAAGACAGACAATATGTATAGTGTACAGTTTTCATGCAGCATTTTGTTTACCGGTTACCACATTTCCGGGAACATCATTTTCCTGCCTTTTGTTTATGTAATTAGCTGGAGAAAAACATTCTTATATCATGGTTTTCTAACATCACTAGTATAAGTTAGTTTATTAATGAATACAAGTTTTATTTCCCTTGGACTCCTGTTCGTCTATGAATTTAACTGCTTTCAGTTGGAACTAATGGATTCATACACACAACATAATGATTACAGAGAAATAGGACTGAAGTGTTTCATAAATTCCATGAAGGCTAATGCAACACAAATTAATTCACAGTTCTAAACAGGGTCGTTATATAATAGCAGTATTATACTAATTTACAATATAATATAATTTATTACTTTACAATTCTGCCCACTTACTGTAATAGTCTTTGCCATTAGTGTCGAATTGTTCCCCACGTCGACGCCTTCTTCTACTGTCGTCGGTGTCATCCGACTCGACGGATTCTCCATCGCCCCAACCCGCTGGTGAGTAGTAAGCAGGACGGCCCCAGCTACCGAACTTCGGAATCACTCCACTGCCCATGAACCCGGCTTCCTCTCGTGTCCTGCGGAAAGTATTATTTAGATATAAATGTATAGATTTTTTACAATATTAAAGTAGGGGTTGATACACATTAAAAAATAAACGTCTAATTAAAATTTTGACCGTGAACTATTAAATTACAACTGATATCACAGATATCTATGATCGACACTTACGTTTGTAGCTGATCATTTCTGTAGAAATTATTACTTAAACACATTTGCAAATAAGTAGATCAATTATTTGTTTTCACTAATCGTTTATTCGTTATGTCTGTCATATTGTTTCAGCGTTTCATAGGTTCCTCCTTCCGCAAATACTTTCGTTGCAACTGACTTCGAGTTCCGAGCTGTTTTCCCTGTGAATTGACACCTTGATATAATTGTTTTTACTGTTCTTTACGAAGTTTCTGGGTGATAGAGTATTAAAAATTAAAATATTTTACAATTTATATATCATACCTGTCAAGCTCCGGCTGTGCTTTTCCTCTGTACTTCTTACAGTAGATACACATGATCACGATCACCACAACAGCTAGGAAAAACAGCGGAATTCCAACTCCTAAACCCACGATCAAATTGAAGCCTCCTGCAACCAAATGAAATTGAAGAAATTGATATCTGAAGAAAATATTACATTTAATTTGGTAGCAAAAACTGTTTTGTGTTTTCATAATGTTGCCTTAAAAGTAAGGTAACACTTAAAAAACTTCTATAAACTTAATAAAAATACATAAAAGTCACGTTATGTTTCAGTCAGTATGTTATCCAATACGATAAAATATAAGAAACATTTATTGTGATACTTTCTCCTTAATATGTTTGAGATCAACGAATGAATTAAAATTAGGCTGGTATCGGTGGTGGCGGAAAGTAGGCATTGAGGGTACAACGAACTAATACTTTGCAATTGTCTATATTGTAACAACATTATGAAATATATATTTACAGCAACATGCTTGTACGGAACAGTCATTTTATGTTCCCTGTGTTTTGCATACTAATTATAAATTTTCATCATGGAAACCCTTTGGTAATGTTATCCCATAAACTGCATCCTTTTATGTCATTTTAAACACAAATCGTGTTATTTCTTACCGGTATTTTCTGTTGACCTGAAACAAGAGAAAATCGAACAATCAAAAGTAATAAGGTAATCAAAATTGCTAAATAAAATGCACAAAATGTATACGAGTATAAAAATCACATTTTGATATTAAACTTGAATTTAAATCAACTGATAAAGTTGGATAAAAATCTGTATCATTTCATCAAATCAGAGCCTGATGTATAGTACAAATTGTCATTGTGCTGTTAAAATAAAACCTGTTTTTGTTGACAGTGTATGGTCGAACTATTATCATTTGAAACAGATACCTTGTTTGTCTTTTTCAATTATTCTTGCGTTTTCGTAATTAGAGACTCTATATCTACTTACACACATTTAGCGCTGCCATCAATTATGAGACACTGGTAATTGTTTTCTGGACAATTTCCGAGAAGTTTTACCACCGCACATTGATCGACATTAGGTCTCAGAGTCTGGGCTGTAACATGATAAAATCCGAATATTAAGATGAACAGGAATAATGTAGTAAAACGAAAACATAATTTTGTATATTAAATTGTTAGTTATGTTATCATTGTTTCCGCATATTCCTTAGATAATTATATAACGTATGACTACTAAACGGAAAAAGTAAATCGGACGTATACAATTCTAAAGTGCGACACAGGATTTTTGTCAAGCTTCTCAAATGAGCAAACCATTCAATTTGATATGTAGACAAATCTAGAACTTTCTTTGAAGATTTCGATTATTAATAAAATATAGATAGGTATTTTGTGTGTTGCAGATACCATGCCAAATATAATGTGCTACGGTAGAAATATAGTGCTTTACCCTTCATGTTGTGCATTATGCTAGGAATCCTTGAAACTATTTTCGCATAGAAGCTGCAAGATTTTGTTGTATAGATATAAACTCGTTCATTGATTCTTGACATGACGTCACGCGTTGAGCACATGCGTTGTCCATGACCAAACACGCAAGGAAGTCGTTATGCATACACCTGCTTTATAACTCAATTTGCATAGCTTACATGTATTATCAGCTGCAAATGAACGGACCTTGTTTTGGCAAAGTCTAAACAAGTTGAATCACTCCAAACAAAATGATACATTGATGAAAGCAGCGTAGGAATTTTAAGACGTTAGCATTATCTGTATGCACACTCCGATCTGACCTGCTGATAGATTGAAAGCCATATATTCGTAAAAGCCGTTGTATTATTTTTATATGCATATGAACATTATCTACAGATCAAATGGTGATTTCAAGCAACATGTGCCTTATAACGCAATGACAGTATTACACTATTGACTAAATACTTGTTGGGGGCATAGTGAATAAGGAACGATGAACTGAAAAAAATATTCTAATTCTATCAGCAATTATGAGTTTGAGGGTTTGGCACTTACTGACTCTTATGCGCAACCATGGAAGGTAGCCCCTTCTCGGGTATAATTATAAACCACGTCATGCGTGGATAATTGATGTAATGAAATTACATCTAACGATTAGTTTTGGAGTGGACCTTATTTTTTTTTCACTGTGTAACCCCTTATTACCTAACCTTTCTGCCCTCTGTGGTGAGGGTAGGGGTCAGCCCCCTCTTGGCCATACAATCTGAGCATCCTCACAGACTGATGAGCTCATGCACCAGTAAAATATCAAAATCTGAAAACGTTGAAAACATTATTGTGTACCGTCGACGGAAGAATTTATCTCGGTTGAATGACTTACGTGATTGTCCACTGGTTGCAATGGTAACTCCCAAGGCAGGAGCCTGAGTGTCGAACAGTGATACATTAGTATTACTGTTGGCAACATCTGATGCCGCCTTGGTCACTCCAGCTAAAGCTGCGCCAGTGTTGTCAGTAGTGACGGTGTGATTTATGACGGTACTGCCTCGACTGAAAGGTGAACATAGGTATAACTAGAACTATTTCTCTCAGTAGAAGAACAAGTAGATAAACCTCCAACAACCAAACCAGAATCTGTGGTCATGCTGAGCGAAACAAATATGTTCAGTACATGTACATATTCAACTGTTCTGTATTTTAGCTATATCTTTCATGAAATCTTATAATAAAAAATGAAAACAATATCACCAGTGGTGCTCAGTGTCACTGAACTAATATGTTTAACTCTCTCGACATAGTTCAACTTACATTATTCCAGTGATTACGACTCTGATGAAACCTGGCACGTTTTGATATACGAGTGTCAACTGAAAATATAACAATAGTGGAAAACACTCATTAGTAGTACAATAAAGGTATTTTTGTTTTGTTTGGAACTGTCATGCACTCACCATTTTGCCTCTAGAAGGAGTGGGGTGGGAGATTAGTGTTACAGTGTCCAATAATTTAGTATTTCAGGTTTTCAAGTTTGAGGTCAAAGTCACCGTTGCTAATTTTATAGAAATAAATAACCACTCCAATGATACCATTCTAGAACCTTATAATAATATAAATAATGAGACTGATTTAAATGGGAGTGGAACAAGTAACAAATTACATTTTTTTCAGTGTATTGATGGAAATGTATGTTTTTAATTATCCAATAAAACATAATTTCAATATTTCAAGATTAAAATCAAAACGGGGATATCCATGTGAAGTAGGTCAATACAGGAAAACATGATATAACAACCGATTTAACACAAGCTCCTGTCATTTTTCGCAGCAATCTTCAGGCATATTTCAAAAGGAAAACGTTAGGACACAACAAGTGTTTAGTGTACATGTCATAACACTAAGACAAAGGCAAGCTTAGTGGCCAAACCAGTACAAACATTAATATGGCCTGTTGAAACCAGGTTTTATTTTTTTGATGAAATTATCTTCTTTCTTTCATCCTAGATTATGAATATAATTGGTACATAAATATACTGTTTAACTCATCTCCGGCAAACTCATTGATATATATCTAACATGTAGTTACGAAACGAGTGCCAGTTTTAGTTTGTTGTTTATGATCTCTCATGCGTGCTCTGAGATCATTGCTAGTTTAACCAATGTAAAATTAACCATAGCACAAAACATGCTATCATATCCATCCGAAACTATTCTAAAATAAAAAAGTCGCTTTGTAATATGCCAAACATAAGTTATATTTTACTTACAGCAGCCGTTGCATTTGCATAGAGGGCAATATATCCCTGATCTCCCGGGTTATTTAGGTCAATAGCGCCGTTTAGGTTGTAATCCAGTGTAAATACCAGGAAAAACTGGATTTGAGTAGGAACTGAAAAAAACAAGTGGGAAATTGTTTAATGTAGATACTTGGTGCGCACTGACGTATTAGAAATGTTCAATAGCAGAATGATTTGTACAACATATGTACTTAACTTCGGTAGCTGATTTAAAATATTGACGTAACATTTAATATTAGGTCAACTGAAATGAACGCGTTTCTCCAATGAGACTACACATTGTCTTGATGTCAATGTATCGCTTATGCATACTTGTTCTAGAAATAACAAAACTTGTTAAGGAATACATTAAAAGGACAGCATGCAATACTTACTCGGAGCACTGGTGGTAGTCGGTTCTGGAAAAACAAATCACGCTTTTTAATCATAAAATACTGCTTATGGTCCTTAACTTTGACGATATTGTATATAGATTCTGGAAATATTTGCCTTGAAAATCGATGCAGATGATCGTTGTATTTTCTCTCTCATAAGATCAGAATGATAAGTAATAGTCCGTCTATATATCAAATAAAATAGGCTGGAACAATATACATTTAAAATATGTTGTAAAGACTTTTTATATCAACTTTGATGCTGGTAATTGCGATTTTCATGTATGAATAAAGATATTTTTCAACAGAGCCATAATTATTTAACAAATGCATTTGAACTAGTTAAAAAGCATACTATTCCGGAGACAAATATCCTTATTGAATAATATAATCATAGAAATAACTACTGAAAAGTTTTTTGATGTGATTTTGTTTGCATTCCACTTCAAAATATTATTCTGAAAAAGATTCCGATGCAACGAGAATATAGAGAACATTCGTTGATAATGCAAAAGAATGATAATTAAAATGGAATTTAAACAGTGTGTGATATCTTTAATCAATCTGATTCGTGTTGAAATATTTCTTTTCTATAAAATGCGATTTGACTTGTTTAATATGATCATTAATTATATTTGTGTTATCAATTAGTTATTTATGAAAACTATCTCGAATACATTTCAAAAGTGTTAGCACTAAGTTAGTTTAATGAACTTGTCATACAGGCTAACACAGAATAATCTGATTTTGTGATACAATGCACAGGAAATCGTAAAGTTGTAACGCCATGATGTTATAACTACCAGAAAAGATAACATCAATGCTGCATGAAACATGCTACGATTCTGTTACAGGTATTTCCTTTCAAAACATGTTTCACATTAAAAACGCGACAGTCATTCGAATTCACGCAAACTCATGCAACAATAGAGTAGGTTATGAAATAATACTGGCAATTAAATTAAGAGACAGCAACTCATGCTGCTGACACTTACCCAAACAAGTTCCCGAGCTAAAGGTTCCGTGTATACACTGGCATTCGAATGTTCCGTTTGTGTCGACGCACCTCTGTAGTGATGAACAATTGTTGACGGAAGCGTCTAAGCACTCATTGATATTGTTGTCACAATTGGTGTCGTTCCACCCGGACTTACACGCGCACGCACCAGTCACAGTATCACAGCTGGCAGTATTATCAGCAACACACGAACATGTCTCTGAACAGTTTGTGCCATATTTAAATTGATCGCAATCTGTTAATTAAAAGAGTGTTTATTTCAAGATGAATTATAACATCTTAAGCCCGTTAAAACATAGAAAGAAACAATTAATATGTATAATGAAGCCAAGAAAAAAACACAAGTAGCAAAGGTTTCTCTGTTAAAAATATAAAATAAATGAAATACAACAAATCAGCATAGTTTCAGATTTGTTAAGAAGAATATTCAAATTTATACCCATGTGAACCTATGCAATCACCAGTGCGTTTGGACCATTTATACTTTCTCTTTTAACAAATCAATGGTAGAGGAATAACAGTTGAATGATTAAACTTTGACACCGGATTTGGATTGTGTTTTAAAACAACTACTACATGTATTACTATAATGTTTTAACACTGTCATAAGTACCCACTAAGGAATGTTTTTCTAAACACAAACTTCTGAAAGTGTGAGCAACATTTGGTTATGTTTAGGCAGGACACAGTATGAGAAGTTATGCGACAATGTCTGATAAGGCAATAATTGAATCTATAATACGTATGAATAAAGTCTCTAGATTCAAAATAACCAGCGAATAACCTTCACAAACATACCGTAGTTATATAATTTGAACCATATGAGGAAATAAATTAAGAAAAAAAGGCTTGACAATAATGACTTGATTTATGTCGAAGCGATGACCCTATCTATGTGACACAACAAAGTCTACATATTAAGTGATCTATATAAGGTACGTAGAATATCGTTCGATCATGAGGCAGGTGCATACCAAATATGATCTTACTGAATGAATATTTTGGAAATATTTAGCCTGGAAACATGCATTTCGGTTTCGGCATAGCCTTAGGAAGGGGTCTGTCTTAATTTATTTTTCAGGTGTTCTAAAATAAAATCGAATTGCTGAATAATTTTGCTCCAAGATTATGTTTCTCACATAATATACATGACTATGAGGAAATCATGACAATACGACTTAACATTAACATGCATCAGCTGTATCCCATTTTCAAATATATATTGAAAGTATATTGGTATTGAGACAAAATAGATATTCAGAAGAACTGAAACAGAAATCAATGAAGGGGTAGGGCTGGTTGTACTTTTTTTTACCTTGGCAATCATATCCATTTACAGTGTAGTAGCCATTGTTACAGGCACAAACGAATAGCCCGTCAGTGTTTTGACAGGTGGACGTAGCTGAAGAACAATTGTGCTGTACTGGAGTGCTAGTGCACTCATTTATGTCAGTCGAGCATATAGTGCCCGTCCATCCAGCGTTACACGTACATGCACCCGTCAAACGATCACACGAAACTGTGTTAGTCTGGTCACATGTACAATCTGATGAGCAGTTTGTGCCGTGTTTGAAAGCAGGACATTCTAAATTAGAAAAAAAAGCATAATGCATATAATTAGAAATAAGCAAGCGAATAGCATCACACATTTAATAAGCCCAAAGAAGACGAATGTTTTTGCATGCATATCACAAATTCGATTAGAGGAGTACAAACGATGTCGTCAGGTTTGTTTGTGTAAAATCCGTAAATAAATATTCCAAAATTAGATCTGCTTAAATATGTATTATGAGTATAATACTTGAACTATTGACTTTTAGGAGCCATTCTTGATTTATGTATGGTACTATATCAAATATATCAAAACGAATATGGATGCCTTCCCAATATGTTCAAAGGTTCGATGCGTGAACAGATTCACAAGCCATGCCTGATGTTTGCGACAAAACTGGTTGGATTGCTATTAAGGACACTATTTGATCTCTACCAAGGAACAAGTTTTTCTTTCTTCAACGAGCGAAATGCGATGCTTTCGGTACTACAATGGACGCTAGTCGACTCGTAAAATACTAATGATCAACCCCTAAAGCACAGTGAACGCTGCTTGTTATACAAAATATGGGAATATATATCATAAAGTGAATTACAAAAAAGGTCTATTCCATTAATGGTATAAAAACAATTAATATTTGCATCATAATTCATCTTCATAACAATATAAATGATGTTTCAAATTATACTATTTTTACCTTGGCAATCATATCCATTTACAGTGTAGTAGCCATTGTTACAGGCACAAACGAATAGCCCGTCAGTGTTTAGACAGGTGGACGTAGCTGAAGAACAATTGTGCTGTACTGGAGTGCTAGTGCACTCATTTATGTCAGTCGAGCATGTAGTGCCCGTCCATCCAGCGTTACACGTACATGCACCCGTCAAACGATCACACGAGACTGTGTAAGTCTGGTCACATGCACAATCTGATGAGCAGTTGGTGCCGTGTTTGAAAGCAGGACATTCTTAATCAGGAAAAGAAATCAAGCAACTAATGATATATATATAACCTAACAAGCAAGAGCAATAGAAAGAAAGCAAGTAACCAATATAACATATTTTATAAGCAGGAAAAAGATGAATGTCATTTCATGCATATCAAAACTTCGATCAGAGGAGTACAAACGATGCCGTCAGATTTGTTTGTGTAAAATCCGTAAATAAATAACCCGAAACTAGATCTTCTAAATTATATATTATGAATACAATACTAGAAATACTGACTTTTAGGAAGCCATTCTTGATTTATGTATGTTACTATTTCAAATATATCGAACGAATATAGATGCCTTCTCCAATATGAACAATGGTTCCATGCGTGAACAGGTCTATTATTTGCGACGAAACCAGTTTGATTGCTATCACGAACACGATTTGACCTGTACCAGTGGGGGTATTTGCTTTTGCATTGTGCAACAGGCCAAAGGCGGTGCTTTCGTACTACTAGGGACACTAGTCGACTCAAAATTACTTATTATCAACCTCTAAAGAAGATTGAATACTGATTGTTAAAGACGATGGACACTATGATTTATATCTTTAAGTGAATTACAAAAACAGATTTATTCCATTCAAGTGATAAAACAATTATTCCATTTAGGTAATAATAATACAAACAAAACACATAATTCGCATCATAATTTCTCTGAACAAATAGTACTTTTTTACCTTGGCAATCATATCCATTAACAGTGTAGTAGCCATTGTTACAGGCACAAACGAATAGCCCGTCAGTGTTTTGACAGGTGGACGTAGCTGAAGAACAATTGTGCTGTACTGGAGTGCTAGTGCACTCATTTATGTCAGTCGAGCATGTAGTGCCCGTCCATCCAGCGTTACACGTACATGCACCCGTCAAACGATCACACGAGACTGTGTTAGTCTGGTCACATGTACAATCTGATGAGCAGTTGGTGCCGTGTTTGAAATCAGGAAAAGAAAGCAACCAACTAATTTTATATATATCTAACCTAACAAGCAAGAAAGCAAGCAACTAATTGGGCATATATCCTACAAGCAAGAACATTGGGCATGACAATTTGAAAAAAAAAACAAGCGACTAGCATCACACATAAGCAAGACAAATATGAATGGCATTGCATGTATATCAAACATTCGATCAGAGGAGCACAAACGTAAAAAAGCAGTTAAGAGAATTAACCAGGGATTTAGTATGTAGTTAGATACTAGCACATTTAAGTTGTTTACCTGTACATGTAGAACCATCGCCACTGTAGCCAGTTTTGCACACACATGAGAAGGACCCATCAATGTTCTCGCAATCAGCCCGCTCTGTACAATTATGAGGGTTGCTGGTACTATTACACTCGTTTATGTCTTCCGTGCAATTAACTCCAGTCCATCCAGGTTTACAGTTACAGGTACCGGTAAATCCGTCACAGTCCACGGAGTTTGTTTGGTTGCAACTACAAGCGATGGTACACTGTTCGCCATAGGTAAATCCAGTGCAAGCTAAACAAAAAGAAAAAAAGATTTAACGTTCTTCAAATAAAACCTTCATACCTGAGGAAGGCGAATATAAAAGGGAGATTTGTAAACAATGGAATAGCAACAAACAAAAACTTTATAAAAGAAATACTTTTTTTTGTTCGTTTTTTTTTGTGTTCTATGATGAGATTACATATTTTATACAATTGACTGATGCGATTATGTTACTTAACCATACCAAAGATTCTTTCTTGAAATATTATACAATTAATGATGTTCTACAGACATATCAAAGTTTACTTATGAGGTTAAATTAATGTAATTTTTTCACTAATGCGACACTAGAACGCGTTTGAATCTTACCGGTACAATATGTCCCATTTCCGCTGTAACCTCTCTTACAGGAACAGTCGAAAGATCCAATGGTATCGGTACAGTCCGCCGTTGATATACAGATACCTGAAGGTCTTTCGCACTCGTTTACGTCTGAATAAAACCAGAAGGAAAAGTCGTGAAATTAACTCTCAGACACAGCCAAAAACAATTAATTGTTTCATACAAAAAACCCAATTTCAACTCATCTTTCATTCCTCCAACATCGTAATATCCTATAAAACGTTATGTGTGAAATAAATATTTTTTTTACAATGATTCAGAAACAGTGAAAGGTTTCCTTATCTACAGAAGAGGGATTAAATTTCGACCTTTAAGCACTTTATAAAAAACAATATTAATTTTGTATGATCAATATAATTTAAAAACCATATTTACTGTGAAAATTCTTGTTTTCCATTTGTTTGGCGAAAGTGGCACGAACGAAGTCGGTCGTATTGCGAAAACAATGTCACGAAAATAATTCATTTATATGATTTAACGTCACCCAATTTAGTCGTACACAATGAAGATGGAATATGTTTCTATTTACTTACTCAGACATGTGCCATTATTTGCTTTGTTATAACCACTATTGCATTCACATGTGTATGATCCATTGTTGTTTGTGCAATTAGCATTTGCACCACATATATTTGGGTTCACGGTGCATTCGTCGATGTCTATTTCACAATCGCTACCCTTCCAGCCATCTTTACAAGTACAGTCTCCATTTGTGCTGTTACACAATACCATGTTGGCAAACACACAAGTACACTGGCCTTGACAGTTTTGACCAAATGTCTGAATACTACAAACTGCAAAAATAACAGTGATGCGTCGTTTTAAACATTTCAGATATATAAATTCTTACTCTAACATACATCGACTTCTAAGAGGTGCGGACATCCTAGTTTATATATGTTTACTTTGATTTGGTTACGTAACGGAACAAGCCAACATGACTTGGGGACATATTTTAAATTAAGGACAGTTAAACAACTAAACAAATAAGCAAATATAATCACTGTAAACGGGAAAATAGTTTCGAATTATAGGACCTATGATGCTTTAAAGGGTGATTACATCCAACCAAAAGAGTAAAGGTATAATTTAAAAAATGGCATAAAGCCTTAAGAATGACAATGGTCATATATAATGTGGAATGAAGCACAAAGGCAATTTTCTAACAAGCTGAGCCAAATTGCAGATGGAATGCTGATATAATGTATACATTTTAGCCGAAACTTTAACACAAATATCAAATATAATGTGTTACGTTTAGCCATAACTATAACACAAATCACACGTAATAGAATGTGTAAGTTGTAGCCATAACTCTAACACAAATCACACGTAATATAATGTGTAAGTTTTAACCATAACACTAACACAAATCACACGTAATATAATGTGTAAGTTGTAGCCATAACCCTAACACAAATCACACGTAATATAATGTGTAATTTTTAACCATAACACTAACACAAATCACAAGTAATATAATGTGTAAGTTGTAGTCATAACACTAACACAAATCACCCGTAATAGAATGTGTAAGTTGTAGCCATAACTCTAGCACAAATCACACGTAATATAATGTGTAAGTTTTAACCATAACACTAACACAAATCACAAGTAATATAATGTGTAAGTTTTAACCATAACACTAACACAAATCACGCGTAATATAATGTGTAAGTTGTAGTCATAACTCTAACACAAATAACACGTAATATAATGTGTAAGTTGTAGCCATAACTCTAACACAAATCACAAATCACAGACATAGAATGAATGCTTTAGTTATTACTCTCAAAAATATCACAGATAATATAATGTGTATGTGTCAGCCATAAATCTAACACAAATCACAAATGTGATGCCTAAAGTCTTCTTAGCTTCTCTAGTATACGTATGTAATTCAAGCATTTAATCAACCAGATCGAATCGATGTTAAATGAACTGTTCCCTTGGCTACATACCAACACAGACCCCTGAAGCGTCTAACACGTAGCCAGCTTGACAATTGCACACGTAACTTCCATTGGTGTCTTTACATTCGGAGAATCTCGGGCAGATTGTTGTGTTATTGCATTCGTTAATGTTGGTGCCACAGTCTGACCCCTCCCAGCCACTTTTGCACGTACACGAACCGTTTGCCTTGTTGCAACTTAGCGTGTTGTCATCTGTTGTAATGCATGGGCACGTTTGTGCACAGTTGTTGCCATATGTTCCCTCAGTACATTCTTAAAAACAGGAACAACTATGTTATTAACAATTGTCGAGAAATTGTTTTGGAAACTTACTACCCACGTCGGGCCTATCTTTTATTCAGTTTTGTTCTTGTATAATCGGTTGTCGATGATCAATTTTATAGACTTGTTTCAATACAAACCCCAAAATCATTCCAACTTATATATCTTATTAGTATGAATTAAAAATCAAACAGTCTCGAAAGTTCATTTAAAGTATATGCAATTTTATAGAAAATAATTTGAAGAATAATTCGGACTGATGTTATAGCACACATCAGAAAGTATAGATACATTATTTTGTTATGGAATTACGTCTTATTTATTCACGCTCAAAAACACTATTTTACACAGGAATAGTTTCATTTTTGTTTTCTTTCAGATGAAATGATAACTGTTAAATATGCGTTCGAATCTGCATAATATTATTACAATACATTTAGAAAAAGGAAGTGGTAATTTATTTTACCTATACACGACACGTCGTCAGTGGCGAGTTTGTACCCTGTTTGACAGGAGCAAGTATACCCAGGTGTGTTGTCATCACAGCTCTGTTCACAAGGTATTAACGTTTCGCATTCATTTACATCTGAAAAAAGCGAAGATAGTTAATCTCAGTTGATAGTTTATACCGGTTTAAATATAACCATAACATCAACTTATAAACAAAATTGATTAAATCATAGTTGTTAATAGAAAATAAAAGTTTCCGGGAAAAAATGGTATTTTCATCACCTTGAATTAGGAAGGCTGCTAAATCAAAAATTAAGATAAGATTGTCTTCCTGTTTACATTCGACTTGAGTTATACTAACACAGGAAATTTAATTTCATTCTCATTGCCTCTCATCCACATATCAATTAACTGGAGATAAATAATTAAGGATTGCTGAGCAATGTAATCCTTATTTGTACCCTCCTTTGTTTTCAATGTTATTTTACCCAGAAACCTTCGTTAAACGGATCATAAGAAGATAATGAAAAACTGTCTTTAAATAACGTATTTTAAGGTATTGGTAATATTCTTTGTTTTCATATAATGTTATTTGAATGTAAATGCCTATGATATCATCATTCATAATTGAATAGATATTTGCGGTAGATATAACTAAGTAGTTTAAAATAAGCAAAGATGAAAAATCAAAGTGATGAATTATAATTTTAAACAAAAGTCGAACTTACTTGTACAGTTGAAGGAATCTTTTAGTTCGTAGCCAGCGTCACATGAGCAAACATCCACCGCATTAACCACGGCACAATTTTGAGTACAATTCGCATTTGCAGAACAATTAACTCTCGCTGTAAATGATAATTGCATTATTCATGAGATATTAATTTTGTGCGCAGGCAACTATTGCATTGGTTCTCTCTCTACCAGATCAAAACCTCGCTTATGTTTTATATCAAAATTTCAAAAGATCAATTTTATCATGTCTCGATCGTAATTAAAATATTACATTGGTTTTAATGCTATTACTGGATTTTCCGAAACAAAATCTTATGAATAACTATGTACATGTATACCCACTGCTGTTACTGCCATTCTTGCGATACATTTTACGCTAATAATTACCTCGCTGCCATATTTTTTCAGTTGTCATGTGGAATTATATTAGATGATGGAAAACTAACAAAAAATCGACAATGAATAAAATGATGTAAAGTTTAAAGAAGCAAGAAATACAAATCTTACTTAATTCAGATATAACAATCTGTTGTTATCATATGTATGTTGTCAATACATTTACAGAACCATCAATTTGAGCAATGTTTCAAGAACACATAAAACGTTTCAATAATTGCCACGATCTCGATCAACGATCAGCAATATGTAAACAATGGTAACCTCACCAGAGCACGTCTGTCTGTTCTCAGGGTCAAGGATGTAGCCAGACTCACAGCTACATATATAACTCCCTACAGTATTCAGACAGCCTTGATCACACTGTGACCTCTCGGTGGCACATTCATTGATATCTGCAGATACATCAGGGTAACAGATATTGATAAGACATGATATGACGAATACATTTCATTGCTTATTCATTTCTACGATAACGATTCAGTGACTTTCATTTAGTAAAATTTCTGTCTTTCCTAACTGCGGACTTCTATAACATACTTTCAGGTAATAAAATGTTTAGGACAAACTTATTCCCATGTTATGTAACGCCAGGGGCAACTAATTCATATGTGATATGCATTGTGCCTCTAAGGAAAAACTTACTCCCATGTGATATAATGCTACAGAAAATCTAACTCCCATGTGATAAACTGCTAACGACAAACCAACTCCCATGTGATAAACTGCTAAGGACAAACTAACTCCCATGTAATATACTGTAAAGGACAAAATTAACTCCCATGTGATATACTGCTAAGGACAAAGTGATATACCGCTAAGGACAAAGTGATATACTGCTAACGACAAACTAACTGCCATGTGATATACTGCTATGGACAAACTAACTCCCATGTGATATACTGCTATGGACAAACTAACTCCCATGTGATATACTACTAACGACAAAGTGATATACTGCTAACGATAAACTAACCCCCATGTGATATACTGCTACCGACAAACTAACTCCCATGTGATATATTGCTATGGACAAACTAACTCCCATGTGATATACTGCTATGGACAAACTAACTCCCATGTGATATACTGCTAACTCCCATGTGGTATACTGCTATCGACAAACTAATTCCCATGTGATATACTGCTAACGACAAAATAATATACTGCTAACGACAAACTAACTTCCATGTGATATACTGCTATAGACAAACCAACTCCCATGTGATATACTGCTATGGACAAACTAACTCCCATGTGATATACTGTGGAGGACAAACTTACACATAGAAGAATAAACTATGGAAGATAAATACTCCATTGAGGACAATAGAAAAACGATAATAAAATTTGACTTATCAAACAAATTGTCGTTTCATTTTGATAAGGTGCAAAAACTCTTTTATGAGTCTTTTGATGTGGACAGAAAATCTACATCAAACATGGATTTGTTATGTACCTTTACATCCTCTGCCATCAGATTCGAGTAAGAAGCCGGGATTACAGCTACACGTGTAACTTCCGACAGTATTGTTACATAGCTGAGAACAGCCATCAGTTTTGGTGTCACACTCCTGGATGTCTAAAAAGATAAACAAAACAGTTATACATGAAATGCAGTACATGATGAAAACTATTAAGATAAAAAACTGTACTATGTTCTGGTTCATCATTTGGCATTTATATCCATGTTATACTTGCCGATTCAATGTCATAAAATTAAAGTAATATCTACACATGCAGGTTCCTTAGTATCAAGAAATCAAAACTGATTTGTAACGTAATACATTATCTTCGAATGATGAATAGATTACTGATGTAATATAAGCGCATTACGTTTGGAAATCTTTTGAATAAGTTTATCTTAATTTGTAAAGATTATGAAATATATTTCAACCCTTATCGTCGTCGTTAAAAGTACTTAAAGAAGAATGCAAAAAATACATCAACAATACACAATTACCAAATTAATTTCAAATTCAAACATAAACTAAGTAAATTTTGACTACCGTATTATTACCTTCACACGTTCCTGTAGTGTTGGCAAACCCGGTCTTGCACCGACAGGTGAAGGAACCTGGCGAGTTGATACAGTCCACATTGGTGCCGACACAGGGTGTTCCCAATTCACATTCATTGGCGTCGCTGCTACATGAGTCACCACTCCATCCGCTCTTACATAAGCATCCCCTTTCTTTGTCACATCTCTCTGCGCCTATGCCACAGGAACAATTATTAAGGCAGCCTGGTCCCCAATGGAACTCGTCGCACACTGCAAATGAAAAGACGATACAATGACGATATATATGAGTGCAATTCAATTAATGGACATTCACGTAAATCGATACAAATAACATGTTCATTTGTGTTAATAAACTCTCCCATGTACATTTAGTAACATCTTAAATTAAGTAGCTCCAATAATTATCGTTTATGTTTACATTGAGGATTTTTCAACATTTAATGCAATAAAAGAAACTCGATACGAACGTTTTAAAAAACCAAACTATAAAGCCACATTTGTGTCCCCAGGCAACTCAGCCAGGTGATCTATGTTCAGCTTTATGTTACCAACCAAGGAGGCAACGTAAAATTATATCCGCCAGTTAATAATATTCATAGATTAAATTTATAATAGGATGAACTTTGTCTTGACGTATATGGTAGATATCCTTATACAAATATGTTGTTTTCTAAGTCACTCTGTTCCTCAGCTTTGTGTATAAGCATGTAGACCTGGGACATTATGCATGATCTATCCAGCTGTGGATGCTATTGTTGTTCCTTAGTATTTTTTCAGAGTGTATTGTTTTAATAAAATTGATTTTAGTTAAATTTCATTGACATTGTTTTAGTGTACCAGGTTTACCAGTGGAAAAATCCTAATGATTTTGTTTAAATGTCACATTGTCTGTAGTTCACAATAATTAGATATGATAAGTGTTACCTTTCCAACTTTGATTTAAGATATTCAAGAGAGGAATTGTTAGAATGAGTTACAGATCCACCTGTGTGTACTGCTTACAAATATATACGTCATACGGAGAGTGATTGATATACATACACATACATTCAATAATTAGAAAGTAACAAGAGAATATGGTATTGATCCTGACATACTCGTAAACAAATTCACATAACCATACATGTCACATATTTAATAATATAGCTAGACGCGGAATAAGGTTGCATGTTTATGTCCCTAAGTTATAACATTTAATGCATGATAGATAATTATTTATAAGAATATATAAATAGCTCACGTTTTCGTTCTCAAACGTAACGCTTATTAAATGCAACCAATTTCAATTCTGTTGACCTGTAATTAACTTACCTTTACATGTTCGCTGATCATTTTCCAGTTTATAACCGTCTCTACACGAACAGGTAAAACCTGGTTCAGTGTTGAAGCAGGTGTCTTTGAAAGTACACTTGTTCAATGTGTCATTCTGACACTCGTTAACATCTGAAATATAAAATGAATATGAATACCTGGAGTTTAAAAACACAAACGTTATATGTATGTCTATTTCATAATTACCAAAATGAATTATGAACTGGATTAGGAGGATTGCAAGTGTTAAGTCGGATGAAATGACAAATGTTAAGATAAAGCTGTGGAGACAGAAAGTCACTGAACCTCACAATAGGTTAGTGCGAGCATATGACGACGCGAATGCATATTTAGATGATTTATATCTATATGATATATAGATTTCAGACTTATTAACAACTCGATAATGTTCTCACCACGATCAGTTTATAGAGTCACAACACGAACGTTTCCACACATTAAATATCCATTTGTATAGTATGCCAGTGATGGCGTCACGTAATAAGTCTAGTTTAGATATTTCTGTATCGGAATGTAAGGAAACTTACACTGATGGTAAACTAATACAGAAGGTGAAATGAGCTTAATCTATGTTGAGTTATTCTATAACAGGAATGCTAAAGGAAACGACACTGATTCGTTTAATTAGATTCCCTCATTTGATTTATCCCTGTATAGAAAAGCTTAGGAAATTATATTAGTGATTCCTGTATAGAAATGTAAATGGAACTTACACCGTTTTTCTATATTTATAATTCATGAATAAAAATGCTCATGGAATTTACACCGTTTGTCAAATGAACTCGCTTGAATATCATACGGGTGCCCTATGGTAAAAAGATTAAATTACATTCCACCACACCGCCCAGTTCATGCTTACCGATACATGTTTGCAGGTCTGATTTCAGCTCATATCCACGGTCACAGTAACACACGGGTAACTGGTCAACCACAAGACAGCCATAGGAACAGTTCACACTGGTTAGGGATTCGCATGGGTCACGTACTGCATCAAACAATAAAATCTTAAATTTGCTTTACGTAAACGCAACAAAGATAATTAAGCATTGAAGTTAAGTGATTCCTGAACAGTAGCTGATATTCGAACAAGAGGTGTATTGTTTTCATGAGGTTGGGAGTGGAAGGAAGCCGGTCACGCTTACTCAGTATTGTAACCAATATTTGTATATCCTTTGAAACCGATTCAATTGTTAACCATTTACCAATCAAAATATACCAAGAGTCATGTTTGATACATTTAATTACGCATAGAGTAAGATTTGTCATTCAGTTGTAAATATAAATCCCACATCGAAACACGTACGTCTCAAGGTGTTTTACACAACATATCTGTACGCCACATTAAACGACAAACGAAAGCACACCAAACAATGTTCGATGGCCCCAAGGTTCACCATTGCCGCTATGTTGTGTCATTTTATCAATTTTTGGGGTATGTAAACAATTATTTACAGTCTTTACTCAGTTTAACTGCTGTGTGTTTAGTTTGAAAATACTGTTATTTCAACTCTTAGCACCACAGTTCTTGATTTGTTTTGTGCTTGTTATTGAGAGTTTCAGATCCGTTGGAATACATTTTGTTATTTATTAACAAGAATCAATCTTTGGGACAATAATTCTCGTTTACGAAAGACAGCATACTGCGTTTAGCGTCTCAACTATCCTTATATTCTTTCGAAGCACAGACATAAGGTATCCACGTTTTATGTCTCTCCTTTAAACTATTAAGAAATACCCCAGTCTGAGATTGACTCCATTAATTAAATAACCCAACGCAAAACCCGACAAACAATAAAATGTATGTGAGAAAATATTTGGCATAAAGTGTTGTTTTTTTCTCTCTTTTTTTTTTTTACTTTTCACACATGTTCTTCGGTCGTCTGCCAGTACAAATCCGTCTAAACATAGGCAGGTGTAACTGCCTTCCGTGTTCTTACACTCTTGGTCACAGTTATCACTATCTGCTTCACATTCGTTTATATCTGAAAAAAATCATCATTGTAGGTGATATGTTAATGCATGCAATTGTATATCTTTGCTTAATTTTGATACATGTATGGGCATGTTAATAGAATGAAACCCTACATCAAATTGCATAGTGTCATATAAGAACTTCATAACTACTATAATATGTAATTTTACCTCTCCCTAAATTGTAATAAACATCAGTGAGGTGTTGAACAGGTTTGCTTTAAGCAGTTTATTGGTTAAATAATAATGAAACAATACCGTCATCATTCTCTTCATGTAAAGTTGAACTGTGACGTAATAATTCTTAGGTTATTTTGTCACTGTTTTGTATAAATATTCCTTCCTAGTATGATGATAACAATGGTGAAATCAAGCCCTTCACTTGTAACTGATCGCGTTGATCGCGCTTTCGTTGATGAATTTTCTAATTTCATTTCAGAAAGTAAAAAGGTACTTTGCCAAATCTTGTTTCTTTATACGAAATGCCATGCTTTAAAATGCATGGTTTGAATCAGCTACATATTTTATATAAACACATTATGTTTGATATTAATAAACTTACCTGTACAAGTGAATGATGAATCTTGATTGTATCCTGCTTTGCAACTGCAAATATATCCACCCTCTGTTTCCATACAGGTTGAAGTCGTGTCGGTACAGTTATTCAATGCTGCATCAGCGCACTCCTTAATATCTAGAAGCGTGGAGAAAATGAGTGAATAACAATCAATAAATATTAAGTTGAATTAGTTATGAGACGATAAAAGGACTTCGCCGAAAAATGGTTTTAAACTTTAGGTGAAAAAATATCATTATTTTTGACACAGATACTTACCAACGCACACGTCGAGGACAAGTTCGAATCCGGAACGACAGTAACATTGATGGGAACCTATGAGGTTCCTACACAACTTTCCAGCCCCACAAATGTCTGGAGTTCTTTGACATTCGTTGATGTCGGTATCACATGAAGAACCCTCATAGCCACTGCGACATAAACAGCCCAAGGCCGCGTCACAAGTCGAAGAACCCATAGCGTGACAGCTGCACTGATTGCTACAGTCAGGACCCCAGGTAAGCGAAGTGCAAGCTGGCAATATGAAGAACCAGAAACAAGTTTGATCACATTTTCTTTTTTCTTATTCTTCATAGTGAATATGTATATATAATATTTTGAAATATGTTTTAACGCTGATATATATCACAGTTCCTAGTTCATGTACTGAACGTAAAAACATACATAACATTACTCATCACTTTGGTGTCAAGTGGTTGTCCGTCGCTATTGTTATTGGTCCAGATAAAATACGTGCAACTATCACGTGGTATTAGACTAAAGATAAGTTGTTATATGTTTTAATGTTATGAAGTCATAGATTCCTACAATGTCTCAAAAAAGATTTTTTTTAGATTATTCCGCGTTAGGAGTTGAAAATGAGCTATACCGATGTGTTTCTTAATGCTTTTAGTCACCTATCATTACTCTTTCGGGATAAAATATTATGTAGACTAAGATTCAGATGTATTAATATTCCTTCCATAACACAGACAGAATGCATCATGATACCGATTAAGTGTATCTTAATGCTATTGTGTCCGCTTAATTCAACTGCAGGGAGAATTGCTGGAAATTTTGTATTTATTCCCATTAACAAGTTAAACAAATTTCTTATTGACGATAAAGCTTATGCATCAAAGTTTTGGAAAAAAACACCATTTATATTGTCGGGAAAAAGGTCACATGCTTCACCATTAAAAACAGATCTGTTTCTACATTAAATGAGTACAACAACAACATGTTTGTTGTGAAAAGGACATGTATGTCAATACGTCACGTTGTGCAAGAACGTTTGAAACAATTGTGGTATTTTTTTTGGAAATTTTGCAATGGAATCTAAACTTTTGACAGTAATACAGCAAAAAAAAAAAAATTGAAATATTTGAAAAAAACAAACAAACTATGCTCTGATTGGTAAAAATGTCAATTTGTTTTCAAGGAAAATGAATCTGGTGAATTAAAAATGAAATACCTGACCAAAAGCTAAAATGCAACATGTAAATTCCAATAAAGGAGTATTGAAGAGTGAAATCTATATGGATATGCGTTTTTGTGTTGTTAAGTAAGGTACTCAAGTTAATGTGCTTCTGTGACTTGCGCACTCAACCACTTACGTTTGCAAAGGACTTTGTCTTCGGCCAGCTGGAAGCCATCGAAACAAGAACACACGTAACTGCCATTACTGTTGGTACAATCCTGGCTACAAATGTTTCCTTTGCATTCATTTATATCTGAAATACAATTTTGGCAATGAAATCAAACTTGAAAGACGTCTTGGAGAAATGAATGCTTACGTAATAGTTACATTTCTTTTTAAAATTTCGAAAATAGTAATGATCGCTTAAGGCCTGACCATTTTGACCCTGAAAAACAAACGCAATGATGATGTTATCGCACGTGAACTTCATAAACGTTGATTAAAATTCGCGAAGAAATTCAAAATTATTGGTGTTATTAGCTTGCTTGATCGTTAAAGACTGTAACAAGTTTGATAAATGTATATTAAGAACCTAAGTCGCTACCAAGTATATCCATAAATCTTAAGTTAATCCTAAGATGTAAGAAAGGAGCTCGTGAAATATATACCATATTAATCAAAAATGAAATTAAACCCACCGCCCGAAATAAATGGATTCAAAATTTCAATATTGATGAAGATACGTGGAAAAATATATACAAATATCCTTTCAATACTTGTACCAGCTCCAAACTACAATGTTTACAATTCAGAATAGAATCCTAACCACAAACAAATTTTTATTTCAAATTGATAAATTAGATAATAATATATGCACTTTTTGTAAAACTCATCCAGAAACAATATCACATATATAATGGGATTGTGAAAAGGTATCTAATTTGATAGAAAATATAAGAATTACTATTATTGCTAAAAATCTTGGTCTTCGATTTCATAAAGAGAATTTATCTTTGGCAAGCAAATTAATAAATATATAAGTTCAACTTGAATAACTTGATATTACTCACGGTAAAACAATACATATATAAATCAAAATGCCTTGAAATAGAACTCAATCTTGATGGTCTAAAAGATCGAATTAAAAGCTTACAAAATTCTTATATCTAAAAGTAACATTAAAAATAAAATACAGATATAATTTAACATCTTTCTGACCTAGGTTTCCCTTGTCCTTGCTTTATCCCACATGTCTTGTCCTTTGTCCTTTGTGTGCATTTGATTTTTGTCTGTATACCTAATGTCACGAATACCATTTATTTAATTTATAATTTATTTATATATTAATTTGTGTGGGTTTGTAACTTTAACTGTAGGTGTGTCCGTGTGTGGATTCTTTTTTGTTTTCTGTATATAGGTACATGCTTGATAAATATTTATTCATAGTGAATTAATTAGCAACTCTTAAGCTTTAAGAGCTTAACCAACAATCATGTACCATATGTGTTGTATCATGTCATGTAAAAAATTTGAAAATGAATAAAAAACAAAAAAATAACGTAAGTCGCTATTGCAATGAAATTGATTTGGGACGGGTTGGACCTGAACGTGACATGATGGACCAGGAGAGGATGAGATAAAATGTGTATAACACGCCCCCTCTCCCCGACCACCGTATATAAATGGTGGAGCATAGAAACAAACCTGTTTCAATTGTGTTTTGGAAATTTGAGAATATCTTATATACTAACAATTTTAATGAATTCTCTCCTTGACCTCGCGTAATTTTATGATAGACTGACGCCCTGTAAATTCCTGGATAAACCTTTATTATGGATTGACATTGTGATTATTACTAGGACATACTCATTGATAGACTGCCAGCCTGGTGAATACTTACACATTCTCCTATGCTAGACTTGCGTAATATATGATAGTAGATATATCAAGTAATAGTGTGCTAAGGAGGTGGGGGAAGGGGAGATGAAATAACCTGTTTGCATTAGAAATGGTATTTGACTCACATGCGATCGAATTATACAAGTTTACGTGTTTCTCTGCAAGTTATAACATTTGCTTGTAGAATTATTTTTATGCTCGATTTGGGTATTCTAAATAGAGTTAAAGCATTGTCTTAGTCAAGACATATTTACCTGTAAGGATTAGAAAGGAATATCCCGCCTACTCTAATTCCAGTTAATTGGATTTTACAAACAAATTATTCAACTATAAGATGACCTTACCGTCACAAGACTTTTGATCGTCTCCAAGTTTGAAGCCTCCTGGACAAACACACTCCACTGCCCCAGAACTGTTAGAACAGGCGTAGGAACAGTCCTTGTTAGCAAGCGTACAAAGGTCAAAACCTGGAACTAAACAAAAAAAAAGAACGTTATAAACAAATGTTAATGCAAATTTGGTATCTATGCATATTTTGTTTCCCTGCTTGGTGGTAAGTTGCTTACTACAAATATAAAAGATTCTGGCATGCAAGACATAGCAGACCGGTTTTTTAACAAAAGGGTAAAAAACTCGCAAAAGGATAAGAAAATCGTATATATATATATATCAAAATTATCAGACAAAAATGGCAAATTGATGACATAATTTTGGAGAAAAGGATGTCATTTCAGGTAATACATTAACAAACAAGCTGTTTAAGTATTTCAGTTATCTATACGCGCATTTCCATTGAAGTGAATATATAACCAAAAATGAGTCTTGATTTATAGAAATCAGCTTTAAAGACTGGAGGAACATGGTGTCCTTATTTCTAAAGGACAAAGAGACTAAAACTGAATTGAATCAGCTTCAGGATATTTTCTACCATGAACGTCCGCGAAATACTAAACCTTCATATTTTCTGTTTCTAAATACTTGATAGTCATACTCAGTTTGAATGCTTAATAAATCATGATTACCAGAAAGCAATCTTTGCAACAGCGCTTTGGTTTCAGTTGAGTTCATATGAGCGTGGCTGCGTCAGTTAAATAACATAACAATTGTTTCATCGATAATCTCAAATTAGAAGGAATGATTTTGACATAGGTTACCAGAGACGGTCTCACAGTCCTGGATAAGTAAACAAAAGTACAAAACCGTTACACATGTGTGTACATATCTATGTGATATCTGTACAGTCGGAGATATCAGTTAGACAGGACGTTGTTAATCCTGTCTACTTTTGTATTACTTACTCTAGTCGTTATTTTCATTAGTATGTCATTAACATTACAATATTAAAATTGTGATTCAATAAAACAAATACCTTGTGTACACATTCTTCCGTCAGCTGCTAATTCATATCCATATATACATTCACAGGAAAACCCGCCATCAGTGTTGTTGCAGTTCTGTTGACAGCCGTCCGTCTCCTCTAAACACTCGTCAATGTCTGAATGTAGGGTAAAAGATATAGTAACAAAATGTCATATCGACATAAGCATTAGCAAACAGAAATTCAACAAAGGAAGTCGTTCGTTATAATAAAGTTATTTTTTAATAGAAAGTTGGTCACATTCCACAGTAGTTTTCTTTAAACAGAAAGTATATCAGAACCTTTGTGATCATTAAATGTAAATTGGTTTGCCGTTCCATATTCATATATGCATTTAACATAAAGGCATTGTTGCAGATTTTTTTTATTAAATTCAAAATTGGTCACGTTAATATAGTAATCAGGAAACTAAATGTTGGGAAAACGACATAGAAAAACAGAAACAGGAAATAGATGTAAGTGACCACGCCTGTTTCTTAAACAGATAGTTTATACAGACATACCGTTCACATAATTTTGTTTTTGTAGAGTTCGTATTAAAAAGTAATTCACACTGACAGGATTCACTGAACAGGGACTCAGTCAAACTGTCATAGTTACTAGGACAAAAGGAAAAATTAATCCACACAAACGCAGTTTTATTAAACGCTAATATATTTAATTTGTTGTGTTGTCAATGGAGGTTAAGTCTTTGTATTGATACTTATCAGTATATTGTAAGCTACTCCATCCCGAATTTCCCAAAATGAAATTATGTCGGGTATATAAAATCTGAGATATCGTGTTAGAAAGGTGATCCTTTGTGCATGTTAACTATGGATTTATCACAACCCAACCTAACACAGCACCCAGGTTAACCTGACCTACCTATACAGGTTGTTGCGTCCGAAAGTCGGTAGCCAGGTCGACAGAAACAAGTGAAGCCTCCAATCGTATTTGTACAGTTCTGATCGCAATTGTTACTCGCGTCTAGTGCACATTCATTAATATCTAAAAGGCAAATTGCAAAACATTAGTCAAATAGATAACGGTGAAGTGTTCATTTCAATAATATATATTGTATCACATGTAAAAAGCGTATCTTGATATTCAATCACAATGTTTCTATGACAGAGGTGATTAGTATACATATAAAGAAGTTACCTATAGCAAGTTCAATAGCTAGGACAACCACCCACACTTCTCGGCAATTATGTACGATGAATATCATTAGATAGTTTTTAAATAATCACCCGTTGGACGATTATCACAAACATTGATGGAAATGTTACTCTTATTTTCATTGGCTGTTGCGTGCCGATGTCAACCAATCAGAGTTAGTATTACAGCTGCTGGAGGTATTCACTGAAGCAGAAGTTTTAGTCCTGGCAATTAATTAGTCTGGAAAAGGTATTTTAAACAGGTGTGTTTCGTATGATAATCAATGTCATGTTTGGGATCGTTGCGAGAAACTATATATCATCAAGCTTCTTATCCTGTATTCTCGTTAAACCTGACGCTTGAGCACTTGTAATTCAAAAGTATGGTCAAACGCAGCACTTTAAAATTACCATTACCAAAGGGCATTTGTTATACTTTCGTTTCCGGACGTTATGTCAACGCCATTAAAACATTTCAAAGAATAATGAAGTAAATATAAAAAAAATACATGTACATACATTCCCGAAATATCCGTGTATTCGCTATTATCGGAAACAATGTAAGAAAATGTGTCAAATCTCCAGAATATTGCCATATATTTCCACTGAATAATTCATAATTGAGCACAAAGTCAACAAGGCTGACTGAGGTTGGAAAAAGCATGCAAAGCAAGTGAGATTTTACCTGTACACCATTTAAAACACTACAGGTTCTCACTCAGGTAATCTGGCTTGACTTGTACCAATAGCCTTGTTAGCTTCATGAATAATTGGAAATACATGAAATCATTCTTGAGATTTGAAACATTTTCTTACATTTTTCTCGATAATAGTGAAAACACGGATACTTCAGGAATATATGAACAGGTAAGTTTTTTCATGAATTAAAATGTTCAATGTAATTTTGCGCCACTCAAATTCTGACTTCAAAAGTTGAAAAGGGTGTGTCTACCTTTGACCAATGAAATAATTTACCAAACTTCTGGTAAGCCTCGTAATAGCTTCACAAAACGATAGCACTGGGTTTAACCAGACTCTCTGTTCGGCGTACAAATTGTACCTTGCGCAGACAACACGAGTCTAGTTGAACGAGACTACTTATCCTGCTGCTATTGATCAACATTATTTTGTGTTCTTGAAGGGTTTTACTCAAGGAAATAGCTCCAGATTCAGGCTGAAATTGTGGTATCGTCCTCCAAACGATGTGATTGAAGTTAACTATCTTACTTAATGTTGAATAATTGAACTAATTATCAAACACACAAGAAACAACAAGACGGTACCGAAAAGTGGACAAACAAATGTATCCAAATGGGGCAAATATGAAGATGTAAGCGTTAAAAAATGTGACATTTGAACCATTGTATTAACAACAACTCCAAATGACGCACAAAATAGCATGTTATCTCTAACATAAACATAACATAAAACAAAGGCAATGGAACTTTTAAGCTGAAAAAGAAAATTCAACCAAATGCCATATGCGAAAGCTTTTTTGTGTCCCTTTATGTTTTCAAGGGTTTCCGTGTAGATATTCCCTTAATTCATATTATGACCTAGTTTGATCAAGTTTTAGATATTTGATGGTCGACTTCGCCTCTTGACAAAATATCTAATAAAATAGTTGCGCAATATAAAAAAACACATTTCAAAACAACGTTTCACCAAACAAATTTACAATTCTTCATTGAGAAAATTATTATATTTATCTGCAATTACCTGAAATTTGATAGAATTCCAATGTTCAAATCATAAAAGGTTTCTTTACAAGCTGAGTACAATTTCTACGTATGATAAAACTGTAACAAATTATTGTCGTAGGCACCAGTGTCATTGTAACAACAGTGATTTTAATTATGACAATAGCAACTGTAGCTCCTTACACAAAGAGTTGCCGTTGCCAACCTAAGTGTACCAATAACGACATTTAGCGATTTTGTTACAATTTTGGTTACATTTTTTTTATGTTTTTCCCCCTTATATTTAGATTATTGAATGCATTTATGTAGATATAATTCGACATTTTCTACAGTGGTTTCTCATATTTCATATTAGATTTCAAGCAGGAGAAATATAGGTCATTTTGGATGATTTAGCGCAGTGAATGAATTGTTTTTGCATGTATTACAAATTTAAAGACATGAGCACCGACCTCGACATCTGGAATCAACCTCTTTGAATCCCTTGGGACACTCGGTGCAGTTGAAGCCCCTGTTTAGTTCAAACTCTTGTGCCGGGGTTAAGTCAGTACAGTTCTGACCAGAGGCGCAAGGTGACTCCAGGCAGGCGTCAGTGTCTTTCTCACATTCATCACCTAAACAAAAGGCACAATAACATGCTCACTCTATTCAAAACCAAAAAAACCCCAAATCAATCAGTTTGATTATCAAAATCACTTTAGTTTTAAAACAGGAACTAAATACAAAACCATGGACTGCATAAGAGCGTGGTACATGTATGTACTATAGCATGGTCATTATGGCATGCATTCTGATCCCTTACTTACGTAAATCAATCTCCAGTCCGCTCAAAGCATATAGCGTAACTTAATCTCTGTGACCGAAATGAAATTCCTGCTTACTTTATGATAACACATTTGTGTTTGTATAAAAATAGTGATCATACAGGATAAAATACATGTATAAGTGAGATGATTGTGAGGCGACCTCTCCCTTTTTTGGTGCCCATTTCATAAGTCGAAGTGACCTATTTTGTTAAACGACTTTCTCCCTACAGATACAAACACATTCAGTCTTCATTAGAGATATTTTAGAGAAAAATGCAATTTTTACATTAACGCATTTTCTTAATTAAATAATATAGATGCAGTTAAACTATGTGAGATGCTATGAAAACCATATTGACGGATAGACGGATTGCAAAATGGACGGACGCACCGCCGGCAAGATACATATACGACAGCACATGGCAAATAACAAATCACTTCGAAGCAATTACGACAATACGCATAAATGATACTCTTTCTTACCTGACCATCCAATGTTGCATACGCATTCTTTAAGCTTGAAAGTGTCGGTATTCCCCGAGTTCACTCGAATGTTGGGTCCACACTTCCCTTGACCTGAACATTCAGTGCACAGAAAAATGATGACGTCAATGGGTGGCGCGTCAAGGTCCAGTTCGTCCTTTGCAATTACACTGTCAAGACAATGTCATTTCAACTTGAGTGTAAGTTCAGAACAATCATTAACTTAAGTTCTAACTAGAAAAAAGTCTGTTTGATTTAAAAAAAAAATCCCTTTCCGCAGGCGTGAATGATGCTTTATAGACGATCACATTCTACATTTGTAATATACTAAGTAAAACTGGCGGAAATTAACAGACAAATGAGAAACCTGACATCCATCTTGAATTCCTAAACTAAAACATCGGTTAGTCGATACGCTTAACATAACAGACGAGTGTTTTTTGATCGGGGAAGGGCCTTATTATAAGTCATGATCACACTATTTGAATTTGGATAACGTCTTATATGACGTCACGGTAAACATATATAATAATTTAGAAGAGGACACGCTTAATAAGACGCCACGGTCACAACATTTTGATTTAAAACAGCAGGCGTCTAATGAATTGCCAAGATCACAATATTTGGATTTGGGTCGGAATGGATTAAGCGTAGGATGAGGAGAATGTCGGAAGATGAGGAGATATCTATATGTATTTGATAAAACTATAAAACAAGAATAAGATTTTTTCCAGTGTACTATGCAAATTATTTCTTTAGATGCACGATCTATATACCGATCTGCTGATAGAGATAAAATAGTTTGTGATCTCAAAGAAAATATTTAAATAATTATCAAAAACAGAAGTATGTAAAAATGAGGCAATGTAAGTATGTTAGTTGAATTCCGAGAACCAAAAGGAACCAATATTTTCAATTAGTCTGGTTTCTCTACCACCGCAAAATGTAGTTAACTTTCTTTACAGGTTAAGGTCTATTATCTGTTTCAACAAACACCCTTCCTAGGATATGATAATGAGAACAAACATTTAAATGGCGTTCATATAGGCATCATGTTACAAAAACGTACCTAATGTTCTGGTTACTGGTGTCAGTTGGCATCCAGTAGAGCGTTAATGAAGAATCCGATACAGTTTGTGAAAATCCAGAAGTAGGAGATTGCACCAGGGAAATACTGACTGGTCCCGTGTCAGAAGCATCAAAGGTAAGTGAATCATTTTGTCCAATAGTGAAAGTAAAATTCTTGTCACCTGTTAGGGTTGGTGCAGTGTTTTCTGAAAAAAACCAATGAATATTGCTTAATATTTGGAGTAGTGGTGTACACTTTTTCGTGAGCGCATAATTAAATATGACCACAGTTAATACTTTTTTTATAGATATTCTCCACATAAACCTCAAATAAACTGTTATTCATTTTTCTTTTTGCTCTGATTAGTGTTAAATCAAATGTATAGATTTTTGTTTTGCCAAATAAGTTTTTCTTATAAAAAATAGTTAAGAATTATACCACAGCGTCAAATCATTAGGACAAATAACAGCAGACAAAAAGACAATTAAAATAACCGAAAAGACATTTACCGCAGATGAAAGAGCAAAAAACGGGGCCGATAAGACAAAGTATTGGAGGTTAATTTACTTCAGCCGAATAGACAAAACTAAAGGCAATAACAGTTATTGGAAAGACAGTGACAGCAGCCTTAAAGACAAACTGAAGCGACAGTATAAGCAGCCGAGAAGAAAAATTAGACACAATAACAGAAGTTAAAAAGAAAATAATATTGATAAGAAAAACAAGAAAATTAAGAATATAACAGCAGCATAGATGCAAAATAACAACCGCAACAACTTATAATTCCTCAAAATATTTACAATACAATATTTGATTTGGATGAGTTCCCAATCAGATGCCAGTCACCATTTAAAATCGTGTAATTAAGCATCATATTTACATACATCGTATGAAATGTGACCATAATGACCATATTTAGGGATTTCAAAACAGAAATTAATATCAATACAGTCAGACCAAGTTAAACCTTTTGAATTCTAGAAGATTTAATCTTCATATACTGTTAACATGAGTACCTGTTGTGTATAAACATTCGTAATTTCCTTGGTTGCTATGGAACCACGAAAATCAATACAACGCATTTCATATATATACTTGACAACTCTTTCCTTATATGGGGTATTAAAAAATAGTTTAAAACAACGAAAAAATGTCAAAGAATATTTTGTGTTATACAGTATCAGAAAAAAGAGTATACCGAAGTGTAAATAAAACAGTTAACCGAACTGAACATTGATAAAACTTCAGCTCAATATAAAGAATGTGATTATTTACATAGAAACACTTGAAAAGGAACAAAGAGAATAAGAACATGTGTTACGCAAGATCAGACACGATATACTAAATACGAAATATTACTGCACCTGCTTCCAATTTTGATTGTTCAGCTTGGGCATCGACAGAACCAGACTCCTGAGCCAACTCCTTGTTCCCCGTACTTAGGTAATCGTAAATGCATGATTTTCTAGCATTCTCTCCACCACATTCAGTTTTTGCTGCCTCAACAGTTGAAGCATTGAAGCTGTCAATGAATATAGGAACGAAATCGGGATGATAGTAGTCTGCTGCAGATTCTCCCTGTTGAAAGGTGAACAGTGTGTCTGACGGCTTTACAAGATCTGCAAAAATGAAAAAGTATGACGATAATGTCTTTATTGCTCTTCATTATATATACTTTCCAGAATTAGTTACAAGTAAGTTAATCTACATCACACTGAAAATAAGACATATTCTTACTATACACCAAACTACCTGTAATTGTAATATGTATTAAAGATTAAAACAAACTTGTCATTATTTAACAGTAAATTATATTTTATTGGGGTTTGCTATTCCTATAATAGCCAAAGCAATATGAGGCCTGGTGCCTAAGGAAACTCCCTCCGCATGAATTTATCCGTTTACTCGTATATCAATGACGGATAGTGATAGTGATGATGTGTATGTGATGTATTGTTACACACCTTGAACAATCTGTTCCGTATAAAAGATATATAATCGTAGCTAAAAGTTTAATTTGACAAGACTTCAACACTCATGTTGGGTAATGAACGTAAAACACATGCGTGAATACACCTCAACAATTTTGAAAAATACATAATGCCAAAAGTGAATTACACCACATCATACAAATGGTTCCTCCTTTTAGGACTCAATGGTGATGCGAGGGGCTAAAAGGGGGAAATCCAAATTAGTCTCAACTACTGTTTAAAGAGACGGGGAAGCGTGTAAAACCCCTTAATTACACAAATTTCAATAAGGAAACGTATTGCAAGGCAATTCATAGTCCCCGACCGGTAAATAAGTTCCATATAAACAAACAGTACACTTATGTCAGGATGTGCCTACTGATAGTAATTGTGGGAATTAACAGGAAAAGCTACATACAAACTCTTTCAAAATTCAAAGGTCAAAGCAAAGGTCAAAGTGAGGTCCTAGTGACCTACTTCTTACACTCCACCATCCCAAAATGTCCTTCTGGTCCAAATCTGGTTACTCTAGGTGCAATAGTACAAAAGAGATGCCCCAAACCAATTTATTTTCAAACGTAAAGGTCAAAGGCCAAGCCATAGTTCACAGTGACCTTATTCTTGCACTATTAATTATCCCAAGATATCCATGTACATCAAATCTGGTTCCCCAAGGTAAAATAGTATATATATAAAAACATGTAAAGAAGATATGTACAGGAAAAACTTTTTCAAATGTTAAGGTCAAAGGTCAATTACAAGATGTCCTTGTACACCAAATCTGGTTACTTCAGGTGAAATAGTATAAAAACATGTCCCGGGCAAACTTCTCGGACGAAGGGCGGACAGAGTGCAAACCTATAGCCCCCTTCGAGAACCGGTAGGGGGACTAAAAACTAGTGACGTATTGGTTTATTTCAAAAATGTAATTAGTAAAGTATGTATATAGTTAACCATGCCACTAAGCAAATGCGATAACTGTAGTTGTCATGTTTATGGTCGCGATAACTGTAGTTGTCATGTTTATGGCAAAGATCGGGAACTAGGAATCCACCTGCCGTGTGAGTCAATCATCTTGTATCTTGAAAGATGAACGAAAGACACACATGTGATTGCACATTTAAATTTGTTATTACATGTAGTATACAAATATTGAATTACATCTAACCATAAATCTGGTATTACATATAGTATACTAATATTGAATTACACCTAACCATAAATCTGGTATTACAGATAGTATACAAATATTGAATTACATCTAACCATAAATCTGGTATTACATATAGTATACTAATATTGAATAACACCTAACCATAAATCTGATATTCCAGATAGTATACAAATATTGAATTACACCTAACCATAAATCTGGTATTACATATAGTATACAAATATTGAATTACATTTAACCATAAATCTGGTATTACATATAGTTTACTAATATTGAATTACATCTAACCATAAATCTGGTATTACATATAGTATACTAATATTGAATTACACCTAACCATAAATCTG